CAGCAGGATGGAAGGCTCTGGGTCCACCTCTGCAGACGTTCACTTGGTCCTTTTGTGTAAATGTGTTACTGTGTGTCAGAAAATACAGAAGCTGGATGTGTTCCTCTCTAAAGAACCAAGCCTGGAAAATGTCACTGCCTTGTTTTCTTCCCATATGGCATAGGTTTCAAGGCCCTGATTCAGCACAGCACTTAGGAAAATTCCCGACTTCCCACATGCAGGACAACTGATTTCAAGATGAACGTACTTGACAACAGTGCTGAGGTGTCACCAAGGGTACAAGTTTAATAGTACACACGCACAAGCATTTGTCAGCTTCAAGATAATCACTAACGTGTAGTGATTCAATACAAAAAAACTCCACTGAAAGCCTGGCTGTCATATGTGAATCCTCTGGTATTTCCCAGAGGATTTACTAGGAAAGAGTTTCTCTGTAAGGTGAACATGCACTTGTACACACACACATTCGAGAATCGTTTTCTAACAACCACCAAAATAAAAATAATACAATAGTACTAAAATAAAAATAGAGACACAAGCCTGAATTTTAGGGCAGAGACACTGAAAGGAGTATGAAGGAGTTAAATTCCTTTTATGAGACATAATTGAGCAATTCAATTTCATTATTTCATTTTAATCCCACCCGGGACTTCCTCTTCTTCCATTCCTATCGGTATCTCTCCATGCTTATAGACACTGATAGTAACCTGCCCTGTTTCAGAACCATACTTGTTCTTGACGTAGATGCTGTATTTCCCTGTGTCTTCATTGCAGACTTTCTCTATGGTAATCGTGACAACTGTCCCCTTGACATCCATTTTGTAACGATCTTTGAAGACGATAACCTTCTCGTTTTTGTACCAGGTGATTTCTGGGTAAGGGTCTCCAGATACACAGCAAGTTAAGCACAGGGTCTGTTGTAAAACAGACAGCAGAAATAGATTGTGAAGATATAAATGAGCAAGGAAATTCAGTTGTTGAGAAATTAAGAAAAATAAAAATCAATTCTCTTAAATTTTCAACAGGTGAGATTCCAAGACTGTCCATGCCTTTTCCTGATATCCTCCAATATAATCAGGATTAACCTGGCTGAATTCACTGGGCCTGACTCATATTTGTGATACTGTCTTTTTATAACTTTCTTACACTGTAGAAGTGACACTTCAATAGGCACGTGGTGAGGTTGCAATTACTTTACAGGATTTTTATTCTCCCTATGTACTAGTAAAGGGGAACGTGACTCAGAAATGTAAGCAGCACGCTGATATGATGGGAAAATCCGGTCCAGGACTTAAAGGCCTTAGTCCAATCCTATGAAATAGGAAGACAACAGAAAGGGTCTGGCTGTGAAACAGATCTAGGAAGCAGTAATACCCAGAATCTGCAAGAAAGAGGTTCTGTGCTACAAAGAGCACCTGTATGTGCAGAAGCACGTGCATGTTTGGAAGCACCATCAACGATATAGGGGGCTGATACAAGTATTGTGGAGGGTACCACTTCACACCTCCAGCAACTGCAGTGGCTCAGGAAAGCTCCTGGGAACATACAGGAGGGGAAAACAAGTAGTTTTCTCCACAGCAGTTATTCTTCTGTGCCTGTGCAAGGGCCAATTATTCGAACATTTACTCAGTATTACCTTGTCCTCCATGATGGTGGCAACATCTGGCAGACCTTGAACAACTCTGGCACGACCTGGGAATGAAAAAAGATGATCATTTAGTTTTCCTTATCAGCGTGCCACTTGACTTGTTGCACAGAAGGAAGGAAATTAATTTACTTACGCTTTTCTGCTACTGCTGCTTCCCTGAAAGTGAGAGAGAGAAAATTGTAGTGGTTTTGTGTATTAGGCATTGTATTGTCAATAGAGAATATGACACTCAAAATAGACTTTGCTGCAAAAATATTTAGGCAAGAACTTACTTCAGCCTTCTGTGCTCAGCCAGGGCATCTTCAAAGGCTGCAAGGAATGAAAAGGTTTTAGGGAAAGTTGCCATTTCTTTCATTTGACTTAGTAGATTCAACATAATGCATCCATGTTGGAATTACAGGTGTTTGTGCACATAGATGTGTATAATTATCATCTAGACAGTATCTGTAGCTGCCTTGAGGAGATGTGAATCTATTTTTATACTACTGAAATTGAGTGGGGTCTAATATTCTCTTTCCAAAGAGGAGTCCAGGGGAGGGAAAAAACCCAACTTTGAACAGTTTGGAAAAGTCTTTGTAAACCTGAAGCCACCTTCTCTTTTGTAAGATGCTGCCTGTAAGCTCTGTTGGCCTGTGGAGGAAGCAGCTGCCCTCCCACTCATCCTGGGGAAAACCAGGGGAAACCTGGTTTTCCTGGGGAAACCAGGAGCACATTATGCTGTGGCTGCAAGGCTCCCTAAAGGCTCCGGTGCTTTCTGCTGCACAGTTCTCTTCTTGTGTTTCCTTTGACTTCTGGGAGCACTTCACTGTCCTTCTTAAGCCAGTTTCATCGTGTGCTGCCATGGCACTGCGGCTCCAGCTCAGATAAGGGAGAGAGGAATCACTGCCCATGATTTGAAGGAGTCTTGGAAAGCAGCTCCAGTTACCTCATTCCTGTGATGGTATTGTTTGACTCAGCTTACCTTGTCCAGACAAGTCAGTTGACAGTTTGCGAGAGTTGTTCCCATCAAATAACTCCAGGGTGTATTTTCCCTTATCTGCATCTGTTGGGTTCAGAATGTGAAGCCAGATCTGATTCATTGTGCTCCCAGCTTTCAGTCTGTCACGGCTTTCCAGTTGTTTCTCCCTGTGTAAACAAATTATATCATTTCAGTAGCATTTGGCTGTATAAATTAGTATAGAGCTGTATAAATTAGAGCACTAACTTTTTTTTAGACCTATACTGGTTAGAATAAGGAGCAGGAGGCAGGACCTCACTGTTAATTTTACGGAGTTACATACTTGGTCACTTTTGAAAATCTCAGGGGGCATCTAGCTGTGCTTTTAGGCAGTCTGCCAAAGCTCTACGAACTCAACAAAAGACCCCTTAGTTCTCATTTAGGAGATTAAATAGGATTTAGATGTTGAATATTTGTAAGCGTTTAGCCCTTAAACATTATTAAAAATTGGCCTCCTTATATATGTGTGTAGGTGGTATCTAATAAAACACCATTCCTCTATTTTATGGAGAATTTATGAGGCTAAATTAGCTAGTGTTTGGAAAGAATTTTGTAATGTTTGGGAATATTTGTTATTCAGAGTAGGACAACAGAGTGGTGTAGGAAAGTACAAAGTAGTAGAAATAAAGAATTTGAAAAAAACAACAACTTCTTTTCCTGTCTGTAACCAAGGTGGCTGTAACTGAGCAGT